AATAAGGATTGTGTAAAATATTTATAAAAAATTATTTAATAACTATTATAACTATTAATAATATAAAAGTAATATTTTATTATAAAGTATATTATATAATACATATTATTATATCAGATTTAATATGTGTTAATCAGTGTTAACTTTTGTTTTATTTTATACAATTTTGATAGTATTGTATGATTATACAACTCTACGAGCTTACTGCATACTGCCTTTTTTTTAAGGTTCTATATGATATAATGTTTATTTATTACTTTTATATAGTATTTCATATAATATGTTGGCATACTAAATATTTATATTTTACATAATATTTAATATAATATTTAAGTAATACCTTATAATAAATACTTTTATATAATATATAATACATTAAATATTTCGATTTAATATAATGTAATATTTAGGTGATATTTCTACTGAAGTATAATATTTTATCTTATAGTATCAAATATAATCCCCCGGTTTCACAGACAAGGCTTTAGCCTAGTCTCAGACTAAAATGTTAGTCTGAGCTGTTTCAACTGAAAGAAACTTGCACTGACTGATCTTAAAATATATCAGTGCCTTTGTTTTGTCTCAAGATGCACACAAGTAATGTGTTTTCTAAGGCACGTTTATGAAAAATAAATTGAACTATGGCCTAAACCTTTATCTTATAGTATCAAATATAATCCCCCGGTTTCACAGACAAGGCTTTAGCCTAGTCTCAGACTAAAATGTTAGTCTGAGCTGTTTCAACTGAAAGAAACTTGCACTGACTGATCTTAAAACATGTCAGTGCCTTTGTTTGGTCTCCAGAGGGACACCAGTGATGTTTTACTGAGGCATGTTTATAAAAATTACTTAAATGGCCTAATTGAACTATGGCCTAATCCTGGCTTAGTCTAAGCCCTGTCTGTGAAACCAGGCCTATATGTAGGCTTTTATTATATGATCTCTGTTAATCAGTGTCATGTTTTTTTGTTTGTTAGTTTTCTACAATTACAGTACTGTTGTACAATTATACAACTCTGGTGTGCTGTGTTGGTCACCACTTGATATCCAATATAAAATACTAGCTTACAGTTTATTGTATTCTGCCTAATGTTTTAAAAATAGTTCTGTAAATGAAACAGAATGCATAATGCAATGGTAGATGTAGTAGTTCACTGTTGTCATATCTCTATGCTGGTCACAGGACCTCATCACACTGCATGTGAAAAAGAAATAAATTATTTTGCATTTTCAAATACAAAATGTCTCTACGGTTGACAGACAAATAATGCAACGTCAAAAATCACAGGTTAAATGATTATTAGTTACTCATCACAATGGAGAAGGTCGATGGTGGCCACATTGCTTTGTGGGACACAGTATCTGTCAAGAACGATGCATTAATATTTTAAAATAAAGTAATAATATAAAAGTAATAAAATAATTATATAGACATTTTACTGCTTTCTAATATTACTTTATTTATATAGTATTTAATTTGATTTTTTTATTGTACTTTTAACATTTATTTAAAACATGCATTGTCAAAATAAAAAAATAAAAAACATTACATAGTATCTAAAGCAAGGCAGCTCACTAGGTTTTGAAACCATTAATAAAAAAAAGACCTCTAACACTAGCTTTCTCTATTGTTTTTCTATTCTATCTATCTGTTTTTTTATCTATTATATAATTAACGGGGAAAAAAACCTTGCTTTGTGTACTGCGTTAAGCTAACTGAGACTTATTATTGCTCTTTTGTTGATTCTGATTGAGTCGCTTTGAATAAAAGCATCTGCTAAATAACTAAATGTAAATGTATTAACAAGTAGAATGTTTTAATTCTGCCATGCAGTAATTATATTTCATAAAATGTAAACTGGATTTTTAGCCATTACTTAACCAATTAACAAATTGTTCCCTTGTAAAACACTGATTATTTGTACACCCGTACAATGTTGAAATCAGTTCCACGTGGCTTCAATGCATCAATGTTGATTCTGCAGAGAAATACGTTCATGACTACCGAGGATTCAACATACACTCTTAAAAATAAAGGTGCTTCACGATGCCATAGAAGAACCTTTTTGTCTAAATGGTTCCATAAAGAACCTTTAACATCTGAAGAACCTTTCTGTTTCACAAAAGGTTGTTTGTGGCGAAAGAAGGTTCTTCAGATTATAAAAAGGTAAGAAAGAGATGGTTCTTTAAAGAACCTTTGACTGAATGGTTCTTTGTGGAACCAAAAATCAGTGGCTCATGTTACCCTGGCTGCATGCGGCCGTCACGGCGTGGGCGACCCCAGCGGCGGTGATGGCATAGGTGAATGCCGCCTCCCTGCTGCCTGGGGGGAAGAGGGAACAGGCTGTGACATCTGCTCAACAGGACTCGATCACCAACAAATTTGCATGCACAAACTAGCAAAATCAACATTTTGTGGTTGAGCTGGGTAGTAACTGATTACATGTAATCTGGATTACGTAATCAGAATTAAAGGGTTAGTTCACCCAAAAATTTGCCCATGTTTTACCCACCCTCAAAGCATCCTAGGTGTATATGACTTTCTTCTTTCAGACGAATCCAATCGGAGTTATATTAAAAATTGTCCTGGCTCGTCCAAGCATTAGAATGGGAGTAGGCGGGTGTTTTTGTTTAACAGTCCAAAAGTAGTCAAATAAAGCGCACGCATCCGTAATGAAACGTGCCTCACACGACTCCGGGGGGTGAATAAAGGCCTCCTGACGTGAATCCATGTGTTTTTCTAAGAAAAATATCCATATTTAAAATGTTATAATCACTTTTTTCTAATTTCTGCTGACTGTCATACGTGCAAGCCGTTCCGGCGAATGATGTAGGAAGTACATGTCATGCATGCGCCAGTGAGAAGCACATTATTTAGAATTAGAAGCACAAAACGAGGATTTGTAAAGAAAAATGTAGGAGGATTTCGATATAAGCCAAGAAAAGACTGGTTTGTCTTTGCTTCCTTTGTTCCCGTAAACAAACTCGCGAGACGAGCATATCTCACAGGCGCGCGCGCTGCGCATACGTCCTGCATCATTCGCCGGAACGGCTTGCTCATATGACAGTCAGCGGAAGTGAGAAAAAAGTGTTTATAACATTTTAAATATGGATATTTTTCTTACAAAAATGCATCGATTCGCTACAGGAGGTCTTTATTCACCCCCCGGAGCCGTGTGAGGCACGTTTTATTATGGATGCGCTTTATTTGACTACTTTTGGACTGTTGAACAAAAACACCCGCCTACTCCCATTCTAACACTTGGAAGAGCCAGGATAATTTTTAATATAACTCCGATTTGAATTCGTCTGAAAGAAGAAAGTTGTATACACGTAGGATGCTTTGAGGGTGAGTAAAACACAGGCTAATTTTCATTTTTGGGTGAATTTACCCTTTATGTACTACATATTTACAGATTATTCACACAATGGCATAATTTATTGATTCTCCCTAATTATTTTTTTCCCTTTTTACATTTTTTGTTCATGCGATGCAGAGATTCCTTTTGTCTGTCAAACCACTTTGACCTAAAATATATACTTGAAATCCCCCTGAGATTTAAAGTTAATATTTCAAGAATTTATCAACACATTTGCATGTTCTCTGATTGGTTAACAATAATCCCATTTAAACCTATAAACAAGTTATGTCAAAAGTACTCTAAAATGAGTCATCTCGCTTACATTACTGACTACAATTTTCAACATATATTTTGTAATCGGTAACATAATACAATTTGTAAGTAATCCACCCAGCACTGTTTATATATTGTATATATATTGGTAGTAATAAAGCAAGTATCACTCTTATTGTTGCTCACACGACCACCAAGTATCTGTCTGTTAAACCATCAAATCTTGCTGAGGAAAGGCATGCTGTTACTTTACTAAGATGGTTAAAAACAGCATAGCAACACCCTAGCAACCAATAACTTTAGGGAAATACAAATTAGAACACCTTAGAAACTGCATAGCAACACCAGAGACACCAGACACAAATCCCAAGCAACCACATAATGAGTTAACCAGTTAGAATACCTTAGAAATTGCATAGCAACCAGCCAGAACACTCTAGCAAACACACTGTGCTAAAAACAAATTAGTACACCTTAACATCCAGCCAGAACACCCTGGCAAACACATCCCATTGTGTTAAAAGAAAAATCAACACATCTTAGGAACTGCATAGCAACACTCTTACATAACATTATGCTAAAAACTAATTAGAACAACTAAGCAACTGCATGGTAACACCCTGGCAACCAGCCAGAACACCTAATATAATGGCAGTGACATTTGCATGTGCAAACAACACTGATGTTTTATTTTTTAAAAAGAAGCAGCAAAATTAGCTATCTACACTGTTAGAAACTTATAATTAATATGAGCAACAAAATCAGTTGAGGTGTTCAGATACTCAATATCTTCAGGAAAACATGATTTGGCTTTATATAATCATTAAAAATTAAAATGGAGTGGTATGCAATAATAATAGTAATATTTTAGAGAAGCAATTTCAAATGAGAATGTATGATTAGTACAGATTTCTGTGTAGCTTCCAAAGATGAAAAATGTGTGATAAGCTGGTTTCATCCCAGCTGCTGAATAGTGTTTCTGTACACCTTTGGGAAAAAGGCTGCAGCTGTTAACCAGCGGCCGCAGATGTTTCTCAGAGTGTGAGAAAGAAAAGCCAAGGTGCTGTCCAAAGTGCTGAATTCTCCTGCCAGGGCACCTTACAAACCCACCACAAGAAACACAGCGAGGTACATCTGGCCCTCCGCTGCTGCTGCTGGGACGGCCTGCAGGTTCCACTCACACACGCATCTGGAGCTTTATTTAACATGACACATGGAGCAAACATAGGAGGACATTCACAGTACATCAGCTCAACAATCACGAGAAATAAACAAACTGATAACAGCAATCTCTGGTCATCTCAGAAGAGCCAAACTCTCTTATTTGAAAAGCTGTCTTTCTAAAGAGAGGTGTGCTGTTACTTTAAGTGATCACATGTATGATTTTTACATCCTGGACAGAAAAAATAAGTTTAAGTGTGGCCTGTTGATACCAATTTTTGCAGATTCCGATTTTCTTTCTAAATACTATAATTGACAGCATATACAAACAAAAAACTATACTTTTTTAATGCAAACATTATTTAAAACAATTCAACATTACAATTCCCCCAATCTGGACAAGGTTACATGTTCTCTCACTTAAACAACTCTCATAATAAAGTGCTCTGTGACCAGAAAAGAGGTAGAAATAACAATTAACTGACAAGGAGTTGCTGTATATAACAAAGCAGATGTCATTTCCCACTATGTTTCTTAAATTGTCATTTTTTTCACTAACCTTATTAAATGTGTCATCTTTCACATCAAATTCTTACATCGTTTCAATTAAGTCAGTTAGAATAATAAGAAACTGCAGAAATCAGTATCAACAAACTCCATCTTTCCACTGCAGGAAACACAGAAGCTGCATCTGAAGTGGCTTTAGATGTATTTACACAGACTGTTTATAAAGTTGAGGTGCCAGAAATGAATTTACAACTGCAAAAGAATTTTATAAGATTAATGTTTTAAATATTTTTTAAACATACAAATAAGAAATGTTGGAATGATAGTTTTAGATATGAAACCAAACCAGTAGGTGGCGGCAAATGACTGTTTGAGTCATTTAGTCCTTCATTCAACAGATTCGTTCAAACGGCTGATTCATTCAGAAACGAGGCAAGTGACTACTGTCTTTATGAATGGGTTACTGAATCATTGACTCACTTAATTCGTTCAAAAACGTGGATTCATTCAGTAACGAAACACCGCCGTGTGTTGCTGGGAGACACACAACAGTTCTGCTGTGGCTTTGATTGGAACCATTTTCATCTGCAAAATTTAGCAAAAACAGTCAATATTGTGTCTAAAATGTAAGGCACTTAATTTTAACTTCTTGTTTATTGAACTACTATTGTATAAAACCACATTGCAATCGTGTTGAAACATTTTGGTCATGCAATGTTGCGTACCTAAATTATATATTATAATTTATTTTTTTTCACTACCGCAGTATGCATCTATAACTTTCTGTGTGTGCTGTTGCACTCATTTGTTTTGATTTCTGCACGAGGCTCTCTCCCACACTCAGTCAGGCTGCGCAAGCCTCATCTGGCACGACATAAATACATTATCAGTCACTGTAAGTGTGACCGGTCATGCAGAAATTGGCTAATTCCGGTCCCTGGCCGGTCGATCGGTGCATCACTAGGCAAAACCAGTCTTAACACCATAGCAACTCCCAAGCAACCAGCTAAAACACCCTCACAATCACATTACATGCTTAAAATCCAATTAAAACACCTTAGCAACATCATAGCAACACCCTACCAATCAGCCAAAACACACTAGCAACCACACTGTGCTAAAACATGCATGGCTTTTACATGCTGGACAAAAAAACAGCATAGCAACACCCAAGCAACCACATAACACTGGGCAAAATTATGAACACCTTAGCAACTCCCTAGCAACCATCCAGAAAACTCCAACATCAAGAATGTGCTAAAACAAATTAGAACACCTTAGCAACTGCATAGCAACACCCTAGAAACCACATAATATTGGGCAAAAACCAACCTGAACACCTAAGCATCTCACAAGCAACCAGACAAATCACTCTAGCAACCAAAATATGCTAAAACAAATTAGAAGACTTTAGCAACTGCATAGCAACACCCTAGCATCCACCCAGAACACTCTAGCAACCACACTGTGCTAAAAACAAATTAGATCATCTTAGCAACACATTTGCAACCTGAACAGTCTGGGTAAATAAATTAATGATACAACTGCAAAACTTGTCACATCATACCAAAAAGATGCTGTAAAGGTGCTTCAACTAAGTGCTGAGTTAAGTGTACAAATACTTATGTAATGAAATCATTTCAGTTTTTATTTCTAATAAATTTATTTGTAAAGTTGTTACAAACCTGTTTAGTGCTTTGTCATTATGGTGTATGGAGTGTAGATTCATGTGTGGGAAAAAAAGTAATTTAAAGCAGTTTAAAATAAGGCTGCAACATAAAATGTGAAAAAAATTAAGGGTTATGAATACTTTCGCAAGACACAGTAATTGCTTATTTTTATCTATTAACGGACATTTATGCCTTCATGAAATTTACCCTTCAAAATCTGTTTGTCCAAAATGTTACAAGTAAAAATACTGAGACCGTAATAATCAACCAGCCAACTTGTGTCAGCAGAGAAGACTTTCACTCCTCACACACTGGCATGTGCAAGTCTTTGACTTGTACACACAGTGCCA